TTGATCACCAGAAAACAATTCGAGCGCCAGGAAAGTACGAGGGTTTTCACGTGTCGGGCCCTGGGGGACACTCGTCCGACACCGTTTCGACACTATTTCGACACTCTTTCGACACTTTTCGGGGTGCTCGAAATTATTTGTGGGATATGGTCCCCAAGTGCGATGGGAGCAACACAAGGCCAGGCCTCCTCGCGCGTCGGGCGTCCGGCGGTTCGGGGCTCTGGGAGAGCGCGGTGCGCACGGGGCAGCGGCGCCACAGAGGCCTCGTGGGCGGCTCGGGCGGAGCCCGCTGTCGACCCCTCGGCCGCACGGCACCGGGGAGCTCGCGCCGGGATGAAGAGTGGTCTTCCCAGACTCCCTCGGGTCACGAAAAAGTCACGACGGGAGTCTTGTTCGTTATTCTCAGCCTCTGGACGCCCTGAGCCGCCCTCGGGACCGTCGCCGGCTGCGCGCAGGAGTGGCCCTCGGCCCTTCGGATGCCTCGGGCGCGGGCCCTGGACCCGGACCCCCCTCGCGTCGTGGGAAAGCCACGACGGGAGGCTTCTCTCGCCACTTCCGGCTTCCGGGGACCCTTCTACCGGGCCTCGGGAGCGTCAAAGAACGGCTGTCGGGGTGAGAGGCCGGGCCCGGGGAAGGGTTCCAGACCTCCTGGGGTTCGGCGCCATTAAAAAGAATTGAAAATATGACGTCGGGGGTCTGGGGAAGGGTCCCCCGATCGCCGAATGCGATGCGGTAGCAGCGGCCTGCGCGCTTGGGTTTGGCCCTCCCGCCCCCCCCGAAGGCGTGCACCGAAGATCACTCCAGCCTGGGGTCACTGTTGCGTGTATCCGATGGCGGGGCCCTGCCAGCTCGAGGTCTCTCTCTCTCTCTCTCGTGGCGTCGAGCAGGCTCCCGTATCTTGCCAGGAAGCTGGACGCAGCCAGCCTGGGTGAGAACCAGATACCTTTAATTAAGTCGGACGGTTCTTGATAATTTTCGCGTATTTTTGAATATTTGGGAGGATTGTTCGGGTATTTGTTATACTGTCGTCCAAAATCCGCTTGTAGGGGGACACGCCCTACCTCAGGATACCCCGTCTCGTGTGGCGAGGCTCTCCAGCGCTCAGGCTTCTCTATGACAGGGCACGCCAGGCTTCCGCACGTGTATCTCCAGCGCGTGGCTCTCCAGCGCGTGGCCCCCGGATGTCGCACGTGGGTGCTCCAGCTTCCCGGTAGCGAGGGCGCCCCCCCGCTTTCTCGAGGCCGAGAGCCAACAACCAATCTATAGCTGAGGGGGATGCGCCCGGTTCTCTTTGATCGGCGCTGGGCCTCCCTCCTCAACCGGGGGAGGGGGGGCTGGCACGCGAGAGTGCGCGGAGCGCGCCAGCGCCTGGCGCCGACCTTAGAGGACGGTCAGCCATACACACGCACACATGTGTGTATATATCTAACTATATATACATATAGATATATACATGCCAGGGTACTGGGCTGGGGCCTCCCGGAGCAGCCTCGCCAGCGCATTGGGGACACGGCCCTCCGAACCCCGTCCCCAGCGGCCCCGGAGGCGCCCTTGACGGCACACATGTGGACGGAACACATGTGTACGCAATGTATGTATTTATGCATGTCCATGTATGTATGTACGTATGTAGGTAGGTAGGTAGGTAGGTGTGTACGCATACAGGTGCGTACGTATGTGTGTATGGTTGTATGTATGTATGTATGTATGTATGTATGTATGTATGTATGTATACATGTATGTATGTATGAATGTGTGTGTATGTATGTATGTATGTATGTATGTATGCATGTGTGTGTATGTGTGTATGTATGCATGTATGTATATATGTATGTATGCATGCATGCATGCATGTGTGTGTATATGTATGCTTGTATGCATATGTTAATGTACATATATAGCATGTATGTATGCATGTATGTACATATGGGTTGGCATACGGACGTACGTACGTACTCACGTATATGTGTATGTACGTATGCATGCATGTATGTGTATATATTTGTATGTGCATACGTACGTACGTGTGTATGTATGTATGTGAGTATGCATGTATATATGTAGGTAGGTAGGTATGTGTGTACATACGCAAGTACGCATAATTGTATGCATGCAGGTATGTATGTATGTATGTATGTGTTTATGTCTGTATGTATGTATGTATGGGTGTATGTATGTATGTATGTATGTATGTATGTGTGTATGTATGTATGTATGTATGTATGTATGTAGATAGTGTGCGTGTGTATGTAGGTACGTGATGGTTGTATGTATGCATGTATGTATGTATTGCATGTATGTAAGTATGCATGTGTGTGTGGAATTATGTAGGTATGCATATATATATACATAGAATGTACATAAACGTGTGTGTTCGTATGTCTGTATGTGTGTAATATATGTGTATGTCTGTATATATGAGGTTGTGCACATGCAGGTACGGGTGCACGTGTGTATGTGTGTGCATGCCTGTATATACACTCATGTGTATGTGTAGATGCGTATGATGTATGTGTGTACGTACGTGTGCATGCCTATGTTTATGTATGTATGTGGGTGCCTACATCTAGTGTTGCATGCATGTATATATGTAAATGTGCTTGTATGTATGGGCACGTGTGCCTATGTAAATAGGAATGTCAGCATGCATGCATGCATGCATGCATGCATGTACATAGTTATGTATGCATGGATGCATATATGTTTGTGTGTATGTATCTATGTTTGGTTGGTTGGTTGGCTGGTTGTATGTATGTATGTATGCATGCATGCATGCATGCATGTATGTATGTATGTATGTGTGTATGTATGTATGTGTATGCGTATGTGTATGTGTATGCGTGTATGCGTGTATGTGTGTATGTGTATCTTCTTTTTCCCTCTGGACCACTGCCAATGGTCAAAAGTCTCCCCGCTGCGGGGGACGCAACGCGGGGGGGCTCTCCATCACCGCCGCCACCCGGGCAACGCCCGAAGCCCGCCTGGGCAACGCCCGAGCGCCTACGGGCAACGCCCGAGGCTCGCAGGGGCTACGCCCAAGCGCAGTCGGACCCCCTCCGACACCGGCAACGCCGGCCCTCGAGCAACGCTCGAGGCGAGCACGGGCAACGCTCGAGCTCGGCCAGGGAGCAACCAACCGGAACAATAGCGGCTGCTGGAGGCCAAAACCGCGCTTCCACATCCCCTCGTCCTGGCCTGCACAGGCCGCTTCTCCCGCTCAAGCTCAGTCTAGGAAATATCACGTATTGCACCAGAGTCGGCCAGTAACTAGCTAAACAAACATGCAGCGGCCGAAATTCGGGGCTCATATTTCGCTCTGCCCGGCGCTGCCAAGAACCGACTACGAATTCATTGGCGCCTCGCATGGGCCATCAGCAGAGAACTTGGCCGAGCCAATCAGCATAGCGTTGCACAGACGCCATCTGGTGCGGCGCAAGCCCTGCTCGTACTAGGTCAGCCGCGCTCTCCTCTATGTACAGCCGGGCCGTGTGGGAGGAGGCCCACCGACCTCTGAGCAGTGTCGCTTCCATGAGGCCGTGTGAAAGAAAATCATCTGTGACTCCCCCTCTCTGGAGGGAGTACCACGTGAATCGCCAGGCCTGGAGCCCGAAGAAGGCCAGAAGCGCTTTGAAGGCTACCTGCAGAGAGTGGGGCGAGCGGCAAGCCAGCAACTGCTCCGCTCGCCGCCCCGCAGATCTGCCTATATCGCAGGCTCTCTCAGAAGTTTGCCTGCCTTCCGAGAGGCCTTCCAGCAAGAAGCCCCTGCCTTCCGAGAAGGCGCGCCGCCTACCGCAGCCTCGTGTCGCCACACTGCGTCCTCTAATCCTAGGAGAAGCAGTTGCGGCAGTCAGCGCAGCGTCCGAGGTGGCATGCCTGCCGCGGGGTCGCGGGCCGCCCGCGACGGCCCCCTGGTCCGCAGCGTGCCGCGAGCGGACTGGAGTTCAGACCGCAGAAGAAGTCCACCAGCTGGACCTCCCAAACTGCCTGCAGCCGCGCGTGTCTGGTCTCGCTGCGCTCGAGCGTCGGGTGCCGTTCGCCAGAGCGCTCTTGGCAGGGGTTTGGGCTCTTTCCTGCTTCGGGCGGAGGCACCCCACGCACGCGCCACTGCACAGGAAGCGGCACGTAGGGGCTTCTGGCTCAAGGGGCCTCTACCGAAAGGTTCCACACCCTCACACTTTCACGTTTGCTTTCACTGAATCGACTGCGCCACACCCTCGACATGAGTCTGCTCGGTGCCGCTGCGCTCCTGTCCCTGCTGGTCCGCGCGGGAGCCGTGCAGCTCGGAGCACGTGGCAACTCGACCTTCGAGGCCGCGTTGGCCCTGGGCAGCGTGTGGGAATTCCCTCTGCCAGCAGACTGGGTTGCAGCTCCTCCGCTGGACTACAGCTACGGGAGGTGCAACTACGCCGCGGTCACGGCCACGAACGTTGGAACCGGCACAGTGGAGACAGGCTTCATCCGGTACGGCATCGAGAACCATGGGTCTTGTGCTGACACACACTGCGGTGGAGATTGGGGGAGGTTCTGTATGGTAAAAGGCGGCGCGAGTGGGGCCCAATCGACGACCGGAGTTGACGATTTTCCGTACTTCAATACGTGGGTACACCACAGCACCCCGAACTGCCGCACCACGTCCGACTCAGGCTGGGGTGGAGGCTGCGGCGGAGCCGTTCTGACTTTCTGGGCGCAGGGGAACTCGGGGTGGGAGACTGTGTACGCGTGGTCAGGTCCAGTCGCTGGGGCCCAACAAACTTGGACGAGGACCATGACCGCGGGTGAATTGGTCAGGGTTGGGTTTGACGCCGCCGGGAGCAACGCCCCCGCCCCGCCGCCGCCGACGCCAGCTCCAACGCAATCGCCCACTCCTTCCCCCACTCCTGCGCCTACGCCCGAGCCAACGTCGTCTCCGACTTCTGGTCCGTCGCTACTGTGCACGTACGCTCCCAGGGCGGTGCAGATGAATACCGACACTGTTCCAGGAGATTTCGAAGGTACAGACGATGACTGCATCTCAGGAGGTGGTTATAGCCCGCCGCCTACCGGAACCTACTTCGGCCACATCACCGCAGACCAGTTCCATGGACACAGCCAAAAAGTGGGCTGCTTGGAGTTCACACTGGACGTCGACGCATACATCGAAACGCGTTATGGTCGGCATGCTGCATGGAGCACGACATGCCCGATCACCATATTCAGTTGCTTGCGGCAAATCCCTCCCCTGTGCCAGCCCAGCATTCTTGGTGGCGACGGTTCGAGAACCGCACAACAAAAACCGTAACGTCTGACATCTCGTGCCCCGAGGCTTCGGAGAGCCGTAACATGGGACGCGCTCTCCCGCGACGTGTCCGGGTGTCTCTTTATGGCGGTGGTCGTCGTCGTCGTCGTCGTTTTTGTCGTCGTCGTCGTCGGCGTCAGCGTCGGCGTCGTCGTCGTCGTCGTCCTCCCTTCCTCTTCTTCCCTCCTCATCCTCTCTTGTGACCTTCTGGGTGCCTCTTTGGAGCGTGTTGGGGACCTCTCGGGGCCTCTTGGACCGTTTTCGGGCACTACTGGGCAGCCAAGGTGCCTTCGGCTGTCGTCATGGGGGCCTCTCAGGGCTCTCTTGGGGGTCAGTTGGGCCGCCTTGGGGCCTCCTTGGGCCGTCTTCGAGTCCTCTTAAGCCATCTTGAGAGGCTCTCGAGCCCCTCTAGGGCCATCTTGGGTCCTCATGGTGCCCTCTTGGGCCGTCTTGGGGGCCTCTTGCCGCATTGAGGCACTAGTGGGTCGTCTTTGCGCCATCTTGTGTTGCATTGGAGGCATATTGGGCCAATCCTGGCGGCCTTATGTGGCCTTGGTGGCCTGCCTGGACCGCTTCGAACCACGGGGAGACCCGGGGAGCGCCAGGGGGGCGCCAGAACGCCCAGAGGGCCAGGGGGAGGCGGCCAGCGCATGCAGCACGGGGCCTCCTGGCGCCTCCACTTCCAAGAGCGGAGACGGTGCAGGGTGGGACAGTGCAGGCGGTGTCCAGGCACCAAGGCCCACGCCGTCGAGGCAGGAACCGGCAGTGATTTTCCAGGGCGGGTGGGGGGGGGCCTCTTTGGGAGAATACACCGGCCCTGCCAGGCATCACGTGGGACCCTGTGACGCCTCCACGTGCCAGGGGGGCACGGGGGCGGATTCAAGGATGCTACCCGGCACAGTGACGAGTCGGTCACCGGGACAGTGATCGACGAGATCGGTTCCGCAAATCCGGGCTACTACAGCAAGGTATTCACCTCTTCAACTTTTGCGACTGGCACCCAGATCATGATGTGCGAAGGCAGGGATAATTCCATATGTGCCATCACTGTTGACTATATCAAGATATATGGAAGTACGGCGCCGACGCCAGCACCGACGTTGTTGCCGACTCCAACGCCGACGCTATTGCCGACGCCCGCGCCAACCTCGCCACCGACGCCCCCTCCAACTTCGACTGTCATTACACCTGCTTTGACGGATTACACTGCTTTCGACGAGGCTGGGGGGTCCTCTAATTGGGCCATCTCGGGCAGTCTGTTCACCGAGACAAGCAACATTCACGGAGGATGGTATTGTAGCGCGGACCAACTAGGAACGATTAACTTCGCATCCGTAGCTGCATCCGATTATGAGTGGAGCGTGGACGCCGCAAGCGCGGACAACGATGCCGTCGGCCTTGTGTGGCGCGTGGCTGACACCAACAACTTCTACAAGTACTCACACACCAACGATGGTGGTGGGTGCCGCACGGTCTATCTTATGGGCTGCGCCTTTTGCCGCCGACCCTCCAGATTGAGCCATGTTGGGACCTTGTTGGTGCCATCCAGGGGCACTCTTGGGGCACTCTTGAGCATTTTTACTATACTCCTCCGGACAATGTACAGTGGTCTTGGAGGCATATACGGGTTTCATGGGGCACGTCTGGGCGGTCTTGACCAAGCTCGGGAAAATATTGGTGCCCGAACGTCACGCCTGCTATATCGCGGAAACCATGGGGCACTCAAAAGAGACTAGCTTGAGCAGCCAGACGCGCAAACCGCCTGAGGCATCCCTGCAATCGTCCGAACGGGCAAGTGTCCCTCTCCCTGGCGGTTCCCCCCTGGGGCACCCCAGTGCCACGCCTGCCATGTATGTCGCGGTGATCATGAAGCTGTCAACAGACAGGAGGGAGTCCCAGGGGCAAAAAAAACACTCCGCTTTTAAGACATCCCCACGATCTGACAATCTGACCGCGAACCAGAAACTACAAGCGCCCCCGGCGGCTGCTTCTTGGGGTGCCCAAGTGCGGCGCCTGTAACGTTGGGTGTGAACTCGTCTGCGCGTGACTGAGTCCGAATATGATCGAAAAGGTGTGAGCGTGTCCTGGGCTTTACTGATTCGAAATACGAGCATGAGGCTGCGAGTGAGGCTTAGTATGGACGAGCCTGGGTGTATGTGTGTGTCTATGCGCGAGTGATCGGAAGTTCGCGTCATTGAGTCTCACGTGGGAGAAATAATGCGGGAGCGAGGTGAGGCGGAGGCACCCCACTAGCAACAATAACCCCATAGGATATGAGGACTAACATCAAGAGGTTCCCCATCCGGAGGCCGGACTTTATCGTCCGGTTGGAGATCCATGTTATGATCACGTTCGGATTAAGTCGGGCTTGTCCTTCTATAGGGGGAATATTCAAAAATAGTGAAAAATAGTCGGGGGATTATTTTTTGAGTATTTTGGGGCATCCTTTGAGCATTTTTTGCGTATCTTTCATTTTTCGTCCAAAGTCCCCCTGTAGGGGACAGGCTCGACCTAAGGGTAGTCGCCGTCGTCGTCGTGCCATTGCCATCGCCGCCGTCGTCGTCGCCACCTCTGCGGCCCTCGCCACCGTCGTCGCCGCGACCGTCGCCTCCCAGCGCCGTTACCGTTGTCGCCGTCGCCGTTGACGGTGCGGGGGGCATTGCGGGCTTGGCTCCTGCAGTCAGGGCGGGAGTCGATCGGTCTGCAGCTTTTTGCGAGTCCTGAGGCGACCTGGACATCGCGAGGAGCTGAGGGGCATCCACTCCTCGTGGCCTTCTTGGACGCCGCGGGCCCCCACTGTTGATAGCAGAGAGGAGGCCAGACTGGAGAGACGAGGGGCGGGAAGCACGAGGCAGGACGATAGACAGGAGGCAACGAGGCACCAGCAAGACAGCAGTCCAGCAGGGCACTTCGCAGCCCGTCGCCCCCAGAGTGGGCGGGCGGATAAGATCAGAGATGGCGTGCGTACGGAATTGTGGCGAGCTTCGTCGTATGCGCCCTACTCGCAGTCCTACAGCACTCCGTACAATTTCAGAGTGAGGGCAGTGGGATGCAATTTCGTGGGTTACTACAACGGTGCCCAGGACTTCGACATTACCGATTCCGATTGCGTGGCGACTGGGGGTGTTGGCCTATACGCTTGGGGTAACAGTGCTAGCCAGTGGAACAACATGCATCTGACTGCGTTGGCCTCAACTCCTGCCCCCGCGACTGGCGCGTCGAGCGGTGGGGGGGCTGCAAGCGCAACTGGCGACCCCCACCTGCAAAATGTTCATGGCCAGCGGTTCTCGGAGGGGCTCAATGTATACACCACGTCGTCGTTTCTTCGACCAAGAGCCAGTGAACTCGGCAAAGGAATTTGGTGTAGAGACGCTCCAGCGTCCCAAATGTTGGGCATCTAGGGCGTCTATACACCGAGCTTGGCCGACCAAGCGACATAGTGTAGAAATCGAGCCCCTCCCAGGTTCGACTTGATGAAGCCAGGCAAGCATGTTCTGATCAACATCCCTAAAGGAGAGAGCGCTGCGGACGCGATGCTTCGAGTGGTGGCCGAGGCGCGTCGCTTGGGTGGATGTTCGGATATGTATTTCCAGGAGCTGAATGTCACGGGGTCTTGGGCAGAGAAACAACAAGCTGGAGGGTACCATTACAGTGTATCGCAGCCTGCTGCCGAGCATCCAGAATGGGTTGCCTTTTATACGGTTGAACTGAAGGTCGTTCATGGACGTACCCAGAGCGGCTTCGAGTACTTAAACCTGTACGTCAAGCATTTGGGGCGAGCCGGATTCGCTGTGGGAGGTTTACAGGGGCAATGTCAGGGGAGGGATATTTACACATTGTTCTCTTCTATTTCTTCGAGATTTTTTTGATTTGATGCAGATGCAAGCAAACACCTCATTCGCTCTGCAGCTCTGGTAGTGACACTGATCCCAAGTGTTCCTCCGCATATCAACAGCGCTCTCTGGCACGATGCGCTCCCCGTTAAAGAGCAAGGCGTTGATGACTTTGCCTCCACCCCAGGCTGTCGACCAGGACGTTCGCAGCAAGAGTTCCGCGTGGTCACCCCACTGAACCGGGATCAATTTCATAATCATGAGAAAGTAGAAGGGTCGTTGGAACGGGGTGATCTGGTACTTCGTGCACAAGTGCTGCAGCGTTCTGCCTCGTCCAGGTTGTGCAACACTAGGACCCGTGGTAGTGGTGTCGACGACTTATCCTGGTACTGATGCTGGCGCGGATGCTGCTGCTGAGCCAGGTTGAACAACGTTGGTACTGGGGTCGGCACCTGCAATGATGGCTGTGACTCGCGGTGGGCCAGGCTGTGCAGCACTGGCCTTGCTCTATGTGAATCCGAGTGACGTCGAGTCATCAGTCGCCGGCGCCGCTGGTGAGAGACTGTTGGTGGCCGGGCGCATGGTTGATATGCGCCGCTTTTTACTCTGGCGGACCGGCTGTGCAGCACGGGTCTGCTCGCGCGAGCCCGGCAGGGCTACGCGGTACCTCTCAAATATTCGATGCAATTGCTTCTCGGGCTGGCCAGCACACTCCGCGACCGCGGTCTCTGTTGCCTGATCAGTGGCGCCGCGCCACGGCCCCCGCCGGCACGTCCGCTGCATGGCCGCTCCCCGATGCCATTGGCCCAAGCTATCTACAGGCCGTCCTTGGTAGTCTCTGCCGGCAAATGCTTCGGCACAACGCAGTAGTTTCTGTCCGACCTCTGAGGCACAGTCTCGGGCTGCATTCCGCATCGCGGTTGATATGACTACCTCGCATGCAGAGCAAATCAGAGGCATCGCCGTCCTCGTGTAGCTTTCAACAAGACGGCCAGGCTGTGCAGCGCTGACGCTGTGGAAAGGTCGTTTACCTGTGCACCCAGCGACAGCAGGCTGTTCAGCACTGCTCGCGGCTCCTGCAAGTGCTGCAGGCTATTCAGCACTGCTCGCACTGGGATCAACACTGCTCGCGGCTCCTGCAAGAGCTGCAGGCTGTTCAGCACTGCTTGCGGGGGCTCCGGTCTGACCATCGAGGCTAGCTCGGAGCCTGCTGCCTTCGGTGATGACCGCCTGCTGCAACTCTTTGATCAAAGTCGCTAATGGTCGGCGTCGTCTCTGATCTTTCTGTCGCACATCCCATGAAGAGCAGAGAGGGGACACCTTCATGTCGAGGGTTGGGCGTCTTCGTGAGCACCGAAACTGCCGAACGCAGTTTTTGAAAGTCTGGTGTGCTACACGCAGCACCTTGCACAGTCAACCACCGACCCACGGCCGCGATGGAACTGAACGTCTCTGCAGGTTGTTCAACACTGCTTGGAACATTGTTCTCTGCAGGATGCTCAACACTGCTTGCTGGGTCTCGTGCCTCGCCATTCGAGGTCTGTAAGAATGCCCGCATGACGCAATGCACTGCTGCACGCTCTTGCGTGGCTCTGCGAGTCACGGAATTGAGGCTGAACGGCAACGAGGATGAAAGGCATTACGACGCGGTGCTGAACAAATACATTCACACACACGCACACACACATGTAGCATTCCACGTGGGTGTTATGTATATATGCAAATATATTCGCATACGTAGAAAGACGTTTCGGACATGCGATCATACATTGGGCGTCATGTACCCCAGCCTGTTCTATGTGCGAAACCTTTGTGAATCCTAAGGGCTCAAGCTGCCCCACTAAGGGCTAAATATGGCCCGCAGACGGACAACATGCATGGACCATACGTGCGAACACACACACATATACATATATATATATATATAGCAGCAGCAATAGTGGATGATGTGCTGCGCTATGCTGTGCTCTGCTCTGCTCAGCTATGCTATGCCATGCAATGCTATGATATGCTGTGATATGCTGCGTAATCCTATGCTGGGCTAGGCCAGGCCAGGCTAGGTTAGGCTAGGCTATGCTATGATATGCTATGCTATGTTGCGCTATGCTATGCTGCGCTATGCTATGATATGATATGTTATGTTATGTTATGCTATGTGTTTGGTTTGCCTTCGTGTTTGCCTTCGCTTTTGCCTTTGCTTTTGCTTTTGTTTGGCACCCAGGGATCGCAGCTGGGGGAACCGCGCGTTTGCTTTTACCTTTGCTGTTGCTTTTGCTTGGCTCCCAGGGGACTGGAGGAACCGCCCGGGGCGGTTTGCACTGCCCGGCCCCTTTAAGCCAAGCGAGTAAGAACCCTTCAAGGCAGAGCCTGGGTAGGGAAAAACTCCGAGGTCCGCGCGGATTTTTCGGATCGACGCTGGACCCCCCTCCCTGGCGCGCGGAGCGCGCCAGGGGCGGCGCCAGAGGCGCCGCCAGGGGGCCCCAGCGCCGATCCGAGAAACCCGCGCGGACCTCCGAGTTTGTACGTTTATGCCACTTTTTGTTCTCCTAACTTCTCCGAAGGCTTGGGGATCTTCTCCGAAGGCCTTTTGGGTCGCCCGAGGCCTCCTCGGGCGGCGCGGACGGGTAGGCGTGGCCGGCCGGCCCTCCGCGCAGGCCCCGCCGGCTGTCCGCGGAGGCCGTCGTCGCGTCGGCACCGCCGACCCTCGGCCGCGCGCAGAGGGGGAGGCGGGGGCAAGTCGGGCCTGTCCCTCTGGTCGGGGGCGGCAAAGAAGGGGGTGATGACCAGAGGGGGGGGTGGATACGGTAGAGGGAAACAATTACCCCTCCCCCCCAACCTCAATTTTGGCACGCGCGGGGGAGACTGCGGTCGAAGTGCATCTCATCAGACCCACCGCCAACTTTGAACATTGGGGGGAGGGGGAGCCGTTGACAGATGAATGTTGCATGAGTGTTCGCTAATTTGTTTCGAGGCCTGTATCATGGCGGGGGCCATGATATTTCCCCAGGTGTCATGGCGCCTTTTCTTATTCCAGTACGTCCATGGCCCCCCCACTGGGCCGCGCACTTGCCGCTGGTCATGATTTGCACCACCCCCCTATTGGACACCCCCCTCTTGGCCGCTCCCGATCTGGAGGAGGAAGATTCAAAAATAGTCCAAAAAATAGTATGGGGACGATGTTTGGTGTATGTGTTGGACTATGTTCTGAATCGTGGTTGGAGTCTGTTTAAAGCTTCGTCCAAAATCCGCCCGTAGGGGGGCACGCCGGATCAGAAGGTAGGGGGAAGGGGGGGCCTTCTGAGAAGCACCCCTGCTTCTTAGAAGGCGCTGGCCTTATCTTGAGATGTGAGGCCGCTTTCTAAGTAGCAGCCTCCTTTGAAGATTAAGTTGGGCGTGTCCCTCTACAGGAGGAGTATTCAAACATAGTCTACAAGTGGTCTGGGGAGGTTTTTTTTTGTATGTTTGGGTATTTGGGTGCATCTTTTGACTATTTTTATTTTTCGTCTCAACTCCGCCTGTAGGGGGACATGCCCGACCTGATTCTAGGAAGCCTTCCCCCCTCCCCCCCGCCCCCTTCCTGCGCGCCGCCAGTATCCAGGAGGCAGTCGTCTCGTCGGCACCATGGGCGCGCCGCCGGCCCAGAAGCCCAGGCCCGCGAGGTCGTGACCGCTTCAGAGTGCTGCCTCCTTCGCTACGTCTCGTCAGCGGGTCACCCTGCTCGTGTGGTGTCCCTTCTGCTCCTCCTCCGCGTGCTCCTGGCCCCTTCTTCTACCTCTCCCTCAGTCCTCGGCCCCATCTCCCTCGTCCTCCCGCTCCTGTTCTTTCTATGTCATCGTCCCGAGCCTCTTTGGGGCCCACGCTGTAGTCGCTCCTTCGGGCTCAGGCCAGAGAGCTTTCGACTGCTTGCGCGCCCGCGCTTCCTGTGGGGCGCAACCCAGCCTGCCCCCGACGCCATGGTCATCCCACTCCCGCCCGGCATCATGCCGCCAAACTTAGAGGGACCTTGGCCACCCGAGCTGGAGGGCGCGGCTTGGAAGCTGAAGGTCTGCGTACTTTTGGCCCTCGCAAACGTTCCGCTCAAGTTGGTGATTGGCATTGCTGTGAAGTCGTATTTCAACCTTGACATCTCCATCATCGGGATGGTTTTTCAGGTCTTGCTGTACCAAGTCCCCCTCGTCCTCTGCGGCGTACTCATGCTCAAGAACGATCGAACCATCGCTCCAATATACCAGTGGCTCTCTCAGAAGATGCTTCCAGACTATTGGAGAGGGCTTGGCGACTTGGGCTTTCTGATGCCTTTCGTAGTGTTTAACGGGATATCCCTGTTCATGGGCTTGCTGAACGAACAGGGGCTCGCGACTTTTATCTCCGAGGTCTTCCAGGCGGGCACATGGAGCGATCCCACTGCGGGGTCCCTCATGCTGGCCTCCCTGCTGGACCTCATCCTGGGCTGGGTCGTGCAGGGCTGCTCGACGTACATCGGCTGGGGCGCCTACAAGCATAGGGGAACAAAAAGTGACATAAACAGAACAACTCGGAGGTCCGCGCGGATTTCTCAGATTGGCGCTGGGGCTCCCTGGCGGCGCCTCCGGCGCCGCCCCTGGCGCGCTCCGCGCGCCAGGGAGGGGGGTCCAGCGCAGATCTAAGAAATCCACGCGCAGCGCCAAAAGTTTTTCGGTTATGGCGTTCTTTCTTCTTCGATTGACGGTCCCGAGGGCGGCTAAAGAAGGCGTCCAGAGGCCGATTTTTATGTTCATGTCACTTTCTGTCCCCCTAAAGCAGCAGGCGCTGGCACGCGCCAGCGCCTCACAGACCGGCGACGCGTGGCCGGGGCAGAGGACCGCCCCCGGCCGGGAGCCCTTGCTCGGCCAGCCGCAGCCTCTCGGCGGAGGCAGTGTTAAGCCGGGCCTGTCCCCCTACAGGAGGATTTTCGACGAAACATTAAAATCCCCCAAAAATACCCCAAAAAGGCAAACAAATGTTCAAAAAATAGTCCCCAGACTATGTTTTTGATTTTTTTATTTTTGGAGTATTTTTTTCCATCCAAAATCCCCCTGTAGGGGGACAGGCCCGACTTCAAGGCAGTGCCGCCGCTCCGGCGGCAGGGTTCCGGCCGTTCGGCGGCCAGGGGCAGACGCTGGGCTCGAGGTGATGGCGGCGCCCCAGGCATCGAAGAACCCAGACCCCCTCGCGTCGTGACAAAAATCACGACGGCAGGAGTGGCGCTACTTTCGGGCCGGGCGAAAGGGGGGATAGGGAAGGGGGGGGTACGAAATCCGCTGCATGCAGCTGGTTTCGGCCCCGCCGCCGGGCCCATTCCCGGATACATGGGCGCCTCCCGGCGCGGGGAGGCGCCAGGAAAATCAGCTACGTGAGCTGATTCTCAAACCCCTCCTTTGCTACCCCCCCCTTTCGCCCGGCCCGATATTTTCGGCCTCCGGGGGGCCTTATACAGGGCCTCGGGAGCGTCAAGAAATTACCCGGTCCCGGGGAAGGGGTCGAGACCTCAGGGGGTCGACGTTGTGGAAAAGTCATGACGTCGGGGGTCTGGGAACCAAGAGCGGCATGAGCATCAGCCTTTCCAAGGTCGGCGCGGGCTCCTCCTCGCCACGGCTGGGTGCAGCTCGGAGAACTGGGATCCGAAATTTCGCTGCCGTTGTCTCAATTCGCCCTGCTCCGATTCTTGGGTCGGCGCTGGGCTCCCCTCTCCCTGCCGCGCGCTGGGGAAGGAGTGTGGGAAGGGTCAGGCAATCGCAAACATGGATTAAGGGGGGCGTGGATTAGCGACGGGTCCCGCTTCCATGGGAAACCGCGGATTTCCACCGCCGAACGAGGCGGCACCGGCCGCATTTTGGTGAGGGCAACTCCCCCAAACCATGGATTAGGCGACCGCGCGCCAAATCCATGGATCGCCAATCCATGTTTGCGCGCCCCCGATCCCTGCCGCGCGCTGGGGAAGGAGTGTGGGAAGGGGGGGGGCGGGCGGGGTCAGCGCCGATCGACCCGAGAAGTCCGCGCGGGCCTCCGGCGGCGTGAGATGCTGATGTGTTGGTGTTGTGTGCTGTCTTGCGGTGCAGGGCGGGAAAGGCGGGGGGGGGGCATGCGGGCGTGGAAGGCGCAAGAGCCTGAGAGCCTGGAGAGTGTTAGGACCGGGCTTGCCCCCTGCTGCCACAGAGCAGGCCCTACTTAGTTGAGCCGCAGTTGCACAGCTCCCAGCGCCCGTCCGGACCGCACCCCTCCTCAGACCCCCGACGTCATGATTTGGTTCACAACGTCGACCCTCAGAGGCCTCGACCCCTTCCCCGGGACCGGCTTCTAGTTTTTTGATTGTCCCGAGGCCCGGCGACTGCCCAGAGGCCGAAAGTAGCGCCAACCCTACCGTCGTGATCTTGTCGTGGCGCGAGGGGTCTGGGTTCTTCGATGCCCTTCGCCGGGGGGCCTCGGCCGGCACCCATTCGGACGGCCAGGCTTCTGATGTTCCAACCTACTTTAGCCTTGATCACCAGAAAACAATTCGAGCGCCAGGAAAGTACGAGGGTTTTCACGTGTCGGGCCCTGGGGGACACTCGTCCGACACCGTTTCGACACTATTTCGACACTCTTTCGACACTTTTCGGGGTGCTCGAAATTATTTCTGGGATATGGTCCCCAAGTGCGATGGGAGCAACACAAGGCCAGGCCTCCTCGCGCGTCGGGCGTCCGGCGGTTCGGGGCTCTGGGAGAGCGCGGTGCGCACGGGGCAGCGGCGCCACAGAGGCCTCGTGGGCGGCTCGGGCGGAGCCCGCTGTCGACCCCTCGGCCGCACGGCACCGGGGAGCTCGCGCCGGGATGAAGAGTGGTCTTCCCAGACTCCCTCGGGTCACGAAAAAGTCACGACGGGAGTCTTGTTCGTTATTCTCAGCCTCTGGACGCCCTGAGCCGCCCTCGGGACCGTCGCCGGCTGCGCGCAGGAGTGGCCCTCGGCCCTTCGGATGCCTCGGGCGCGGGCCCTGGACCCGGACCCCCCTCGCGTCGTGGGAAAGCCACGACGGGAGGCTTCTCTCGCCACTTCCGGCTTCCGGGGACCCTTCTACCGGGCCTCGGGAGCGTCAAAGAACGGCTGTCGGGGTGAGAGGCCGGGCCCGGGGAAGGGTTCCAGACCTCCTGGGGTTCGGCGCCATTAAAAAGAATTGAAAATATGACGTCGGGGGTCTGGGGAAGGGTCCCCCGATCGCCGAATGCGATGCGGTAGCAGCGGCCTGCGCGCTTGGGTTTGGCCCTCCCGCCCCCCCCGAAGGCGTGCACCGAAGATCACTCCAGCCTGGGGTCACTGTTGCGTGTATCCGATGGCGGGGCCCTGCCAGCTCGAGGTCTCTCTCTCTCTCTCTCGTGGCGTCGAGCAGGCTCCCGTATCTTGCCAGGAAGCTGGACGCAGCCAGCCTGGGTGAGAACCAGATACCTTTAATTAAGTCGGACGGTTCTTGATAATTTTCGCGTATTTTTGAATATTTGGGAGGATTGTTCGGGTATTTGTTATACTGTCGTCCAAAATCCGCTTGTAGGGGGACACGCCCTACCTCAGGATACCCCGTCTCGTGTGGCGAGGCTCTCCAGCGCTCAGGCTTCTCTATGACAGGGCACGCCAGGCTTCCGCACGTGTATCTCCAGCGCGTGGCTCTCCAGCGCGTGGCCCCCGGATGTCGCACGTGGGTGCTCCAGCTTCCCGGTAGCGAGGGCGCCCCCCCGCTTTCTCGAGGCCGAGAGCCAACAACCAATCTATAGCTGAGGGGGATGCGCCCGGTTCTCTTTGATCGGCGCTGGGCCTCCCTCCTCAACCGGGGGAGGGGGGGCTGGCACGCGAGAGTGCGCGGAGCGCGCCAGCGCCTGGCGCCGACCTTAGAGGACGGTCAGCCATACACACGCACACATGTGTGTATATATCTAACTATATATACATATAGATATATACATGCCAGGGTACTGGGCTGGGGCCTCCCGGAGCAGCCTCGCCAGCGCATTGGGGACACGGCCCTCCGAACCCCGTCCCCAGCGGCCCCGGAGGCGCCCTTGACGGCACACATGTGGACGGAACACATGTGTACGCAATGTATGTATTTATGCATGTCCATGTATGTATGTACGTATGTAGGTAGGTAGGTAGGTAGGTGTGTACGCATACAGGTGCGTACGTATGTGTGTATGGTTGTATGTATGTATGTATGTATGTATGTATGTATGTATGTATGTATACATGTATGTATGTATGAATGTGTGTGTATGTATGTATGTATGTATGTATGTATGCATGTGTGTGTATGTGTGTATGTATGCATGTATGTATATATGTATGTATGCATGCATGCATGCATGTGTGTGTATATGTATGCTTGTATGCATATGTTAATGTACATATATAGCATGTATGTATGCATGTATGTACATATGGGTTGGCATACGGACGTACGTACGTACTCACGTATATGTGTATGTACGTATGCATGCATGTATGTGTATATATTTGTATGTGCATACGTACGTACGTGTGTATGTATGTATGTGAGTATGCATGTATATATGTAGGTAGGTAGGTATGTGTGTACATACGCAAGTACGCATAATTGTATGCATGCAGGTATGTATGTATGTATGTATGTGTTTATGTCTGTATGTATGTATGTATGGGTGTATGTATGTATGTATGTATGTATGTATGTATGTGTGTATGTATGTATGTATGTATGTATGTATGTAGATAGTGTGCGTGTGTATGTAGGTACGTGATGGTTGTATGTATGCATGTATGTATGTATTGCATGTATGTAAGTATGCATGTGTGTGTGGATTTATGTAGGTATGCATATATATATATATATACATAGAATGTACATAAACGTGTTTGTTCGTATGTCTGTATGTGTGTAATATATGTGTATGTCTGTATATATGAGGTTGTGCACATGCAGGTACGGGTGCACGTGTGTATGTGTGTGCATGCCTGTATATACACTCATGTGTATGTGTAGATGCGTATGATGTATGTGTGTACGTACGTGTGCATGCCTATGTTTATGTATGTATGTGGGTGCCTACATCTAGTGTTGCATGCATGTATATATGTAAATGTGCTTGTATGTATGGGCACGTGTGCCTATGTAAATAGGAATGTCAGCATGCATGCATGCATGCATGCATGCATGTACATAGTTATGTATGCATGGATGCATATATGTTTGTGTGTATGTATCTATGTTTGGTTGGTTGGTTGGCTGGTTGTATGTATGTATGTATGCATGCATGCATGCATGCATGTATGTATGTATGTATGTATGTGTGTATGTATGTATGTGTATGCGTATGTGTATGTGTATGCGTGTATGCGTGTATGTGTGTATGTGTATCTTCTTTTTCCCTCTGGACCACTGCCAATGGTCAAAAGTCTCCCCGCTGCGGGGGACGCAACGCGGGGGGGCTCTCCATCACCGCCGCCACCCGGGCAACGCCCGAAGCCCGCCTGGGCAACGCCCGAGCGCCTACGGGCAACGCCCGAGGCTCGCAGGGGCTACGCCCAAGCGCAGTCGGACCCCCTCCGACACCGGCAACGCCGGCCCTCGAGCAACGCTCGAGGCGAGCACGGGCAACGCTCGAGCTCGGCCAGGGAGCAACCAACCGGAACAATAGCGGCTGCTGGAGGCCAAAACCGCGCTTCCTCATCCCCTCGTCCTGGCCTGCACAGGCCGCTTCTCCCGCTCAAGCTCAGTCTAGGAAATATCACGTATTGCACCAGAGTCGGCCAGTAACTAGGTAAAGAAACATGCAGCGGCCGAAATTCGGGGCTCATATTTCGCTCTGCCCGGCGCTGCCAAGAACCGACTACGAATTCATTGGCGCCTCGCATGGGCCATCAGCAGAGAACTTGGCCGAGCCAATCAGCATAGCGTTGCACAGACGCCATCTGGTGCGGCGCAAGCCCTGCTCGTACTAGGTCAGCCGCGCTCTCCTCTATGTACAGCCGGGCCGTGTGGGAGGAGGCCCACCGACCTCTGAGCAGTGTCGCTTCCATGAGGCCGTGTGAAAGAAAATCATCTGTGACTCCCCCTCTCTGGAGGGAGTACCACGTGAATCGCCAGGCCTGGAGCCCGAAGAAGGCCAGAAGCGCTTTGAAGGCTACCTGCAGAGAGTGGGGCGAGCGGCAAGCCAGCAACTGCTCCGCTCGCCGCCCCGCAGATCTGCCTATATCGCAGGCTCTCTCAGAAGTTTGCCTGCCTTCCGAGAGGCCTTCCAGCAAGAAGCCCCTGCCTTCCGAGAAGGCGCGCCGCCTACCGCAGCCTCGTGTCGCCACACTGCGTCCTCTAATCCTAGGAGAAGCAGTTGCGGCAGTCAGCGCAGCGTCCGAGGTGGCATGCCTGCCGCGGGGTCGCGGGCCGCCCGCGACGGCCCCCTGGTCCGCAGCGTGCCGCGAGCGGACTGGAGTTCAGACCGCAGAAGAAGTCCACCAGCTGGACCTCCCAAACTGCCTGCAGCCGCGCGTGTCTGGTCTCGCTGCGCTCGAGCGTCGGGTGCCGTTCGCCAGAGCGCTCTTGGCAGGGGTTT